AGCGTCGCTAGTGAAAACCAGGCTTTAGTCAACTTCATTCAACATGCCGAGGATTATTTAACATGTACATAAGGAGTATCTTGTGTATACTTCCAATTATGACCATTATTTAAGATAAAGGTGGCTATGTTTGCATGRTAGCTGGTGCAAAGAGCAAATTTAGAKTTTGGCATCCAATAATTTATTTATACATTGATTTTRTTTAAKTTATTGCAGTCAGTGTCTTTATTTCCACAGGGAAATCATTGCACTGTGATTTAATACAGCTGGAATGTGGTTATCTCTGTGGAGCRGACAGTGTTGGGACGATAGTACGAGAAATTGACCCTGWAACTAAACTTTGTACCATGCCAAGATCAACGTTRCCAACAACAACATCAACAATAGCATCAACAACAACACAAATTACAACAAAGAGAACTGCCAAACCTAAAACAATGATACCTAGAAGTAAGTAGAAGTTTTTAGWRTMWYWTTTKTRTAGTACTKTAGTTCTAATTTCCTGATATTTGGAAGACTTTTTCCTTTCTTGTTTCGATAGATCTCCTGGAACATCAACAGGTTTCTGTTTCTTCAGTACAAATGTCTATGCATTTCGTAAAAACATTCTTTTTTCTATTTTCAATCTAATCTTCTGAGACTGTATAAAGGCTGGACAAAGTTATCTAGTTCATAGAATATAAGTGCATTGTCATTCTGACTGCTGTTTCTAGTCAAACCAATTCCCTGAACCAATAATCTTCTATATCTTTGTTTTTTCAGCTATACATCTGAACATCACAACCAAGAGCACAAGCTCCACAACAATTCAAGTCTTCTGGAGCTTTAGGCGCGACAAAATACCAACGAATATCGAAGGCTATCGTCTGGACTACACCGAAAACCATTCCACAGAAAAATACAGCTCTTTTGTCGAAAGTGATGTGAAGGCCGTTGAGCTGACAAGATTAAAAAAGAACACTCTCTACTGCATAAGAATATTTATCATTGTTGGAAGAAAAGAAAAGGAAAGTGATGGTTGTCATTATGCTAGGACTCTTGAAGATGGTAAGCTGTTCAATCCTGTTGAGAGCACTATAAATGTACAAAAATATACATACTCGGAAGGATGTTTTGTGACTTGATCCTATGTTGTGAACAAATTGCTCCTGCTACCGATGCATCCACCAAAAAAAAATCACAAGTATCAGTAGCAAAGTAAATTTTAACTTCTTTACAAAGCGACCAGAAAACAAAGAAAAATAAATAGGATTCAAAGCAMCGTCTTTAAGAATATTTCAATATTTCCGATGTATTTGGTCGGTATAAAGCACCAATAAAATATTCGGTCTGTCTGTCTGACCCACAATAGTCTCAATAATGAATTGGAGGAAAGAAACGAGGAGGGGGGGAGTAAAAATCACTTGACCACAAATGACACCTTTTATGCCTTCAGTTCCCAGCAAGTCCCCAACTGTTCAAGTCCAAAATAAAGCTCTGACGTCAATACTTGTCACCTGGCAACCAATAAACAAAAATAGCGCCCACGGAAGACTTCAAGGGTACAAGATGTATATTACWAATATGGACACCAATGCAAGACCGGAAGTGATAAAAACCGGAAGTGCGACTAACTCTATGACTATAAATGGTGTGGCGATGAATGTTCAATATTGTGTTCGGTTGTTAGGATTTACTGTCAAAGGTGATGGCCCTTTGAGTCCTTGCGCGGTAATACGAACATGGACAGACGGTAAGACTTAATGTTTTGATTTATATATTCCCCTCCTTCGTCCCCTCCCCCTCCCCCCAGTAAACATAGTTGAAAGAACCACTTAGGAAACAGTGCGGCTTGCCATCCAGTTTTCCCTATACATGGCTAGTAAAACAAATCCTAGCTTGATGGAATTAMTCACCCTTCTGATTACTCCCTTAGTACTAATTTTCTATTTTGATTTTCTATTGTTAGTTTATTTTTTGGAAGAGCATCTATTGTTTGTCCATTGTTTTCTCAACCAATCACGAGATTGATCGGTTCGCAGTGACCACCAATCCCAACCAACTAAGTTGTTTTGAGCAATGTCGTTTCGTGTAACTTAAAAATTAAATTAATCTTTTATAGATTTTTTACCAAAAATGACGGTTCACAACTTCACTAGCACTACCTCCATCAATATCACGTGGGACAATCTGCCAGGTTACCTAGCCGGTCACGTGATTGCATACAAACTCTCATATACCGTAAGCGAATTAAAAGGAAAGCAGGTGCAACAGAGCTTTATCCACCTGATTAATGTAACAGCCAATACGAAAGAGTTATCCATTGGTGGTTTAACCATTTTTACTGTGTATCGGTTTGAGGTGAGACCGCTGACTAAACGTGGACTTGGGCTCACGTCTCGAGTGGCATTTGGTGGTAGGACTCGCATCGTTTTGTTATTGTAATCTTTACTTTCATATATATTTTCCTTTGTTTATCGTTTTATAACCTTTGTTTATTATATGTCACATGTTAAGTATAAAACAAGCCTTCAATTTTACATTTAGCAACGTGCCGATGTCAAAAGTACCTCAAAGCCTTGTGGAGCCCAATTCCCCCTTACGCGGTCGAAACAAGCACAGGGAACCCAACTGGAATGATACCAAARCTTCTATCCACAATGGTGGACACTTCGTGTGGACAATGTCACGGACATAAATCAACAAAAATCATCTATGAACTCAAATCAAACAGATTAAAGCGCGATTTAGCACTCGAAGATGAAGAGGCAGACTTTATTTTTCCAATCAGAAAGGCCGATAAAAGAAGCAAAGACGAATCAGAAGTTTATATTCCATTACTCGAAGTTCCAGGATTTGCGTTTCTGACCTCTGTGAAGAGTAAGCAAGAATACGCTCAACATATCGCGACGTCGGTGTTTGATTGTTGGCCGGTGTTGGCTATTAGTTTGGCCATGACGCTGTTATCTGGTGTACTATTATGGTTTATTGTGAGTTTGTATTCTCTTTAAATATAGTTAAGAAAGCATTCGGACCAATCAGATATATAGCGTAAGAACGTACATGCATCATGATTTTTTAAGATTGCTGAGATATAACGCGCGCTTTCATTGGCTGAAGACCGTGTCTATATGCCACCTCAGATACATGATTTACCACTCGCGCGATCGTAACAAGCAAAATTATCTTATAAAAGAACATAAGTCGGCCTCTTGTGTCTTTTTTCTCTTGATATAAACATTGTGGGAGATGGAGAGAACTCGAGTGGAAACAGAAACACTCACTGCGCAAGCGTAATCCAGTGCTTTTCTTCCACTCTCCACCTTCCAGAGTGTATGAAGGACCATAGAGACATATGCGCCCTTTTCAGTTCTCTAAATATTTTTCTTAATTGGCTTCCTTTTTTCGTTCGTCTTGTTTTAGGAATTAATAGAAAATCGTATTTATCCCCGCCGCACAAACGTTTTCAGAGGTATMAATGATGGAGTTTGGTGGTCTTTCGCTACCATGACAACAGTAGGGTAAGCCTACGTCATAATGCAATGCAACTGAAATCAGGAGGGGTCAAAGCAGCTTCATGCATGGTGCTAAGGGTTGTGAAGCAGTTTTTATTTGTCTTTGTCAGATATGGTGATCAAATACCACGTACAAACGGGGGCCGTTGCTTTGCAATCATTTGGCTGTTTATAGGGATCGTGCTGGTTGCCTTGCTTGTTGGYTCAATTACTTCATCACTGTCTGTGAAAATCCTCAAAGAGCAATTGTACGTCAAGCGAGATAAAAAGGTAAAATGCCTTTTTAAACCCCTTTTCTGCATTTAAAACACGCAATGATAGTAAATTGGCTATTTTCTTCTACTTGTTTCAGATAGCTTCGGTAGAAGATCCACTTGACTACAATGTACTWATGCATGTCGATGAAAGAGCATCAACAAGTAAGAACTCCCAACTTGTGTTTCGTACAACTTAATCAACCAAAAAATGAATACTTTTCAAGCCAAATTTTGTAATTTTCAAGGACAATAACATTAGAAATATAGTGTAAATATAGTAGTAGTATACAAGTGAGACTTCTACGCCATGAGGAGCGGAGGAGCTGAGGAGCAACCAATGAAAAGCGACGAAGCGCCTCGCGACCAATGAGGAGCGACCGTCTGTTAATCCGCCGTGACGGCGTCGGTAACAACGCTTATTGTTATGTTCCGCGACCAATGAGATAACGGCGTCCCTCCGCGACCAATGAGAAGGCGAGATCTTTAACGGCATCTTTGTAATGTTTTTTTTTGTGACCAATGAGAAGACGAGATCTTTAACGGCATCTTTGTAATGTTTTTTTTTGTGACCAATGAGAAGACGAGATCTTTAACGGCATCNNNTTTATAACTCTTTGCCAAATGACATTTTCTCTACAGGAACCACCTACCAAGACATGGAGAGTCTAATAAAAGCTTTAAAACAGGGAAATACGGAAGGTATCATTGTGGATATGTACTTGGCGGGATTTCGTACCGACCTGTTCAACGGATCTTGGTATAAAGTCTCCAGTATTTTAGACCGAAAGTTCTTCTACGGTGTAAGCATTAATGGAAATGCAGCTTCTCTAGCGAAAAGGTTCAAAGATTACTCGTTGAAGACGTACGAAGTTGAATTGAAATTATTACAAGAAGAAAGACAAAAAGAAAAAGTATCGAATGTAAGTTTGCTTGACGGAATAAGTTTGAAATTTTCCCTGGATAACTGCAAAAAAATATAAGACATTATTGAACTTTTAAATGACAATCAAGCAGCAATCTTTTTTAATCTTTTATTCTAGTTTTCTTTCCAAGAAATAGCTACAAAGTTTGTCTAATAAACTTTCAGATATTAAGCGACGGATACAGCTACAGCGTCCGCCATTTTGAATTTTTAAAGATAAAMAAAATCCCACAAGACACTTGCCTAAAAATACCAGAAAAATATAACTACAYCTTTTACAAATAATATATGATTTGCTTTACTGCCGTTTGTATTATATTTTTAAAACAAAAAGCACGTATAGAAACACTTGCTAACCTATTGTTGSACAATCAAGATGGCGGCCGGTTGATAATAACAATCGTCTTGTTCCTTATATTTTCGCAGCAATTCAASATCCATTCCCAAACAGTCCGCAAGGACATCGATCTTTTGAATCCTCGMACTCTACTCTACCAGATGACAATATTTTTTTCACTGACTGTCCTGGGAAGTGTGGGGATCCTWGCTATCCTTGTCCACTCATGGAAGAAAAACAGAAAAAGAGAAAAGAAAAAGGAATTGGAGAATGGTAAGAATGAAAGTAAGTGCCTTATTACAYTGTGGTCTTTTCCTCAATTTGAAAAATCTTTTGGCTGAGAAAAGCTGGGCCCAAAAATCAAGATGMCGTACATTTTTACCCAGTTCWCCTCTGGTCATGCGCAGTGAGAAATTACACACGATATCTTAGGATACGTGATGAGAAAATTGAGGGAAAAATTGCTGAATGCGTTGCGAAAAATAGCAAGAAAAATAGCAAGATTACTAGTTACATTGTGCAATAGTTCCCTTCACATTCCCTGCGCCATCTTAAAAGGATGCTATGCCTTTGTATCAAARCGAGACAGCCATTGAGTGTGCAATGATAGATACCGTGGAATGATTGTCTGTAGGAGTGAAAGAAAGTTTCTATCACTGCAAGCTCAACGAACGTCTCACTTCGATGCAAAGGCACGGCTACCTTTCAAGATGGCGTAGGAAACAGTGAGGGGGACTATTTTCTCGCAACTTTGTATTACGAGACAAGATTTTAGAGAAAATTGCATAGTTTAACAGAACCTAAAGCTTATATACTATTAAACTTCTTTTATTTCCATAGTACAAGATCCCCGYGAAGAATATATTCAGCTCAAACAAGAAATGAAGACAATGTTAGACAACTTTTATAGACAGTTTGTAGCAACTTACRTCAAACTAAAGCTAAAACATCGACAAGAGAAGCTAGACTTTATCAACTACAAAAAACAGCGAATGTATGAAATCGTTTGGTTGTAAATATTATGATTACTAGCTTCAAGACCGGGCATATCTATCTGTATATATATAAATATTATTTGTTTATCTAACTCATACATCTTTTTCGAAAATATCATCTTCGTATGTCATACTTTAGGAAGTTTGCATTGGCGAATTTCAATTTTTGTAACAGAATCACAGTTGTACAAAAATTAAAGCTTCAAATACAATTTATACATCTTGGT